AACCGATAGATGGACTCGTATAGCGGATTGTTGAGCGCTGTCACCGGCAACGGATCCAAATCCAAGAGTCGCGTGTATGGGACAAACTTTTCGGGCAAAATCAGTTGCCGACACGGAAGCGACACATTGAGTTCGCAGCCCAACCATCGGTCAAACCCGCAGTGAATGATGTACTGCGAGGGCAGTGAGTCCGGATCGAGGAGCGGTATGTTGAACGTCACCTTCTGGGTCTCGGCGTGGATCACCTGTCTCTTCGACAACTTAAACAGTTCCGAGTGATAGATATGATTGCTGTCGATGTCGGACAGCCATAACCAAAAGGATTCGCACACTTTGCCGTGATGTCGGTCATCCCAGCGGAACGTTGGCTTAATCATCGCCTCCACCATCAGTACCGTACGGGTGATGGGCTTAATGCACGCCTCGACCGCCACCGACGGCAATGTGTCGGCCAATCGCTTCAGTATCGAGCCGTACGACGTGTGGCGCACGAGTCGGCCCAAGTCGTCGGCCGTCATCTCTTTGATGAGAGCGATGGTCAGCGGGGGCTTCAGGCGCTCAATTTTAGACATGACCTCGAAGCTGATCTCGTTGCCAAACTGTCGCAACGGTGTCTCGTAAGCCCATTGGCGGCGCTCAAACATCAGCGACAGCCGCAACAAGTGCTCAGCCAATAGCGCCCAACCCTTTTTCACCACGTAGTCGAACAAACCTCTGGCTATACGGTTCACGTTCTGTGCGTTCAATTAGAAGATAATTAATGTCACAAATGGTGGACAACAACGTGGCGGACAGGTGTATGTGTCCGCCGGCCCGACCGAACGCATACCTGCATCACAAACATGGTGTCGGACACGAGTGAGAAGCTGTCGATCTTAGCCCGTGATAGTTGTGATTGCATTAGAATATTCACTTTGCCGTTCTTGTTCTCCACACCGCCAGGAACGCCCAGTTGGCACTCGTGCCGCAACAGGTCCTCCAGCTCTTCAAACTCGTCCTCACGTGACTATACAGTAAAACAAAAACCAATTTATTAATCACTTTAACATAAGGTAAGAAGTATAGGCATTAATGTTAGGGGAGTAGGCGGGAGGTGGAGGGGCTGTGTTGGGCTCACTAGTGGTACAGGCATTTAGACAGTTGTACCTTCAATTGGTCGAACTCCTGAGCGGTGGCAATCATGGCAAAGATGGCCCTCTCGTCCATCATATCGCTGATCAATTCGTTAAACTTCATAATCGTGTCGTATTTGATATAGTAATGGCTGGCCGTACGGCCCAAATCGGTCGGGTCTAGAGTGCCCGCCTCGGGCGAGAAGCGCACCATTTTGGCCCTATCGAGGTCTTCGGCCGACTCAGTGACCAAACGGCGTCTGTACTCATACAGGTCTCGGTCGTGGCGGAGGTCGGCCTCACCGATGCCATAGCACTGGGGGTTCTTTCGCATCCGAATGTAGAGATAGGTGTCGCGAATCCAATCGATGGCCTCATCAATGGTGGTGATGGTTCCCGACACGATCTCGGCGTTCATATTGTCGGTCAAGTACTTCTTAAACTGGCTCTCGATCGGGAACTGATTGGTCAACAGCGACAAGTAGTGGCGCAGTTTGTTATGGGCGGTGATGATCGTGCCGTGACCTTCCGTGTCGTACTGTGGACGGCCGGCGCGGCCGAAGATCTGCATCACGTCCAGCATCGAGATGTCCACGAAGTTGCCGTGCGATGAGTCGTACATTTCGGTCCCTTTGATCACCACCTGAAGAGACAAACAACAAAAAATACAATTAGATATCAATTAAAAAACACCACAAAAAACAGATATTAGGGTAAAAACAGGTGTCCGTACGGAATGCGCGGGCAGATTGACACCCCAGGCAAGTGTCGCCGTGCAGACCAACACGCGTATAACGCCGGCGCGGAACAGCTTCTCGACCAGATTCCTGTCCATCCTTAACATCCCCGCGTGATGTATGGCAAAGCCGGCCTCAAACAACTCCTGGAGGCCCTTATGGCGGGCGCGGCGTATCTCTCGTGCGCTGTCGACCATCTTATCGGTCTCGCACTTAAACACCGACATCGACTCCG